GAGGCCCAGCTGGCTGAAAGCAGGTTTCTGGGGTTTGTTTAGCTTCTATAATTGCAACATTGTTTCTTAGAGTGCAGCACAGAGGCCAGCAGCAGCAGGCGGAGAACCTTGGCTTCCTCCATCACTGGAGCAAGCCAGCCACTTCAGCTGCCTGGCTGCCGGCCGCTATCTTGGTTGGCAGTTAATTTGCATATCGCCCTGATTAGCCAATGGGAAGTGTGATGGAAGTATGGTTAATTACCATGTTTGTCTATTATTAGATAGGATAATCTCTATTCACTTTGCTCTCCTGAATGCTGACTCTGTGCTGTGGACTTCTGTGTATCTTCATCGAATCCTCCCAACAATCTGATAAGGTTGGCTTTATTATCTCAGTTTTACAGATGAGGAAATATAGGCCCAAAGAGGCAAAGAGACTTTCCTAATGTTACACTAGTTTGCGCCAGAGCTGGGATTTGAAACTGAGGTTGGCTAGACCCCCAAAGCCAGAGCTATATTATGATCACCATCTCACAGATAGAGAAACAGGCTTAGAGAAGTTCAGGACTTACCTAAATCACACAACATCAAGTGGTAGAGCTGGGATATGACCTCAGGGTCTGTATTCTTTTAAAAAAAATCATTTTATCTTACCTTTATTTTTAATTTTAAAAATATATATTTTTATTGATTTCAGAGAGAGGAAGGGAGAGGGAGAGAGGGATAGAAACATCAATAATGAGAGAGAACCATCAATTGGCTGCCTCCTGCACTCCCCACACTGGGGATCGAGCTTGCAACCCCGGCATGTGCCCTGACTGGGAAGTGAACCATGACCTCATGGTTCATGGTTCATGGGTCAACGCTCAACCACTGAGCCACACCAGCCGGGCAGAGAAGCCTGTATTCTTAATCGTAATGCCAAATCCTGCCTTCCCACATAATAGTCATGTCTACATCAGAACCTCTGCCGCTTAGCACAGGGACTGGCAGACACATAGTGAGCAGCCAAAAGAAACATTGGTTAATATTATTCTTGATGTTATTCTTAAAATTGACACTGTTCCTACCTAATATGAAATATATAGAGACACATATATTTATGGACAAACATACTCATTTTATATCAAAGAGAATACATTTACAAACTTGAAATACTATACAGCGGGGCCTTGACTTATGAATGTCCAGACTAACGAGTTTTTTGAGATACCAGCTGTCTCTCACCGATTTTTTGCATTGAGTTGACAGAATAATTTGAGTTAACGAGCTCCTTAACGAGCTCGGTCTCAGAACGAATTAAACTCGTAAGTCAAGGCCCCACTGTAGATCTGAACTGGTCCCTAGCTTCCAAGGCCTTTCGATGATCTATTCTTCCTTCCTTTGTTATCCAACCCTCCATCTGAAAGCCACACTCCTGAATAGCATTTAGAACATACA